ATCCTTAGAAAGGTTGACTTGCCCGGAGTCTCACAGCTAATAAATTAGACTGCTTGATTTGAATTCTAGCTCTTCACCTCCAGGGATGGGGCTTTTTTTTTCTTTTAAAGATTTTGTTTTTCCTTTTTCTCCCAAAGCCCCCTGGTACATAGTTGTGTATGTTTAGTTGTGGGTCCTTCTAGTTATGGCATGTGGGACGCCGCCTAGCATGGCCTGACAATTGGTGCCATGTCCGCGCCCAGGATTTGAACCAGGAAAACCCTGAGCCGCCTAATTGGAGCACGTGAATTGAACCACTTGGCCACGGGGCTGGCCCCCAGGGATGGGGCTCTTAATCGCCTCATTATATTGCCTCTTAGATCATTGTTTGTTTTTTTAATCAGTTTTGTTTTACCATCAGTAAATTGGTTTTGTTTACCACTACCCCCATCTTGTTTACAAATGTATATTTTTCAGCTACATTGGGTCAGATAGACTTGTAAAAATCTAGTCATTTTTTGCAGTATGTCATGCTTGGAGAAATAATTTCTGAGTTCTAAAAGAACTTATAAATGATCTCTTTGGAAACAAGATCGAGAGGATATTTGAATTTGAGAAAGTTGATTTTGAGGTATGCCTTTTTCTTGGGAGAATAAACTCTCAGCTCTATAATTACACACTCTAGGATATATTCAGCTGTGGCTTTTTAATGTCATAAAGCCTTTTAAAAAAAAATGGTTTGGCTATTCTAAAATCAAGCACAGCAGTAGGGATGGAAATGGCTTGCCAGAAGTTTTTTACCAAAGTGTGAATGTTTCAACTATAAAGTTACCTTCTGGGAAAAGCATTATTCCTAGCTTGAAATCTGTGTCAAAATTTGTTGAGAAAATTGACTCAACAATTTGAGTTGAGAGAGTATCCAGAAGACCGATAGGGTAGGTTCCTGATTTGGAAGAGCGAAAAGATTGGCCTTCCTGTAATTAGATTAAGCCATATTTCAGGTCTTTATTGCAGGGTATTTGACCTTGATATAATCGATCAGTAGTTATTGAGAATCCAATATGTATTCCACACTACTAGGAAGAATAGGAGACAGAGGAAAGATAATAGACATGGTCTCCCCCACCATGACACTATGATGGATGATATTCATATAAAAGACACACTCCTAGGGGCTGTGGCATAGATAAGATCTTCTGTTTAAGGGAGCATATTAGAATTCAAATGAGTGGCAGAGACCTTATCAAAAGGGAATCTTGAATCTATCCATATGTATCATTCATTCATAGACTTTGGTACTTTTTTATTAGTTAACAAATCACTTGCTGTATACTATAATTTTCCATGGCACATCAGTTTGTTGCAAAGTGACAGTTGAAAACTGCTGTTTTGGAGCTTATGACAGTAGGGAAGACAGGATTTACATGCGTAAAATAACTGAATAGTTCAGGATAGTATAAAATATACTGAAATGTGGGGACATGCACTGTGACTGCTGCTGGAGGGCCTCTCTAGTCAAGGAAATCTTTGTGGAGAAAATGGCGGCTGAACAATGGAGAGCAGATCAGTCCAGGTTCTTAATTGTAAGCAACAGAAATAAAATCTGATCCATTTTAAGCAGAAGAGGAATTTATCATTATTAAAAAGATATTGAGACATGCATACTCCTTTGACCTCACAATTTCATTCCCAGATATATACCCAACAGACAGCCATACACGTGTTCACTGATGTGTCCATTTTAATAGAACCAAACTGGAAACTGTCCAAATGCCCATCAACAGTAGCATAGATAAGGAGTGGAGTATTCACTCAGTAATGGAAAGCTATACAGAGTGAGAATGGACCAACTGCAGTTACGCACAACAACCTGGGTGAATCTCACAGACAGTATTGACTGAAAGAAGCCAGACACGAAAGAGAGCATAGTAAAAGATTCCATTTACATCAAGTTGAAAAGCAGGCAAAACTAATCTATACTGGTAGAAGTCAGGATCGTGGTTGCCCTTGTGAGGGAAATAGTAACTGGAAGAGGGAATAAGGGGACTTCTTGGAATGTTCAGTTTCTTGACACAAGTGGGTTCATTTAATGAAAATTCTTTGAGCTGTATACTTGATGTTATGTAAACTCCTTTCCATATGTTATGCTGTGTACTTTTCTGCTGCATGTTACACATCGATAAAATTTTACTTTATAAAAAATATATTAGGTAACTCAGAATTACTGGAGCTCCTAGCTGTATATCCCAAAACCTGGTTCAGTACCTCAGATCAAGGCTACTGAACTGTACTACCACTGCCAAGCATTGAGCTGCAGCTTGCAGCGCTGGCCATGGCCACTGCTAGCTCTGCAGCCTTGTTCCCTGGCAGCTTGGTCCTGCTGTAGCTACTTCCACCTGAGGTGATAGTTCCATTCCTGGCTCCGTTCTGTTGCTTCCTATTCAAAATCTGGGGTGGATGCCTTTGTTAGGCAGAGCCTGACACAAGTGCCCATCCTTGCTACAAGACAGGCTGGGAAAGCTAGAATCCAGCATTTTCAGCTTTTATAGTGGGTGGTGATATCTGCCAGAAATTTTAAAAAAGGCAAGGTGGGAGGGTGGATATTTCGGATCTTGGGGAACCGAAAAGAGTGAAAACCTTCCTGAGGTTGAACATTTAGGTCAGTAGAAGAAAGTAGATTTCAAATGTTGGGAACAATAAAAGCCTAGGGTTAGAGGTTGAATAGAGCATGGCACTGGGGTTGAGTGGAACAAGTTTAACCAGATCAAAGGGTGTGTTCTGGGAAAATGGTTTGAGAGAAGTTGAAAGACTAAGATGGGACAAGATTAAGGATTACTTTGAAAGTCAGGCAGAGGAATTTAAATTTAATATGGGAATTTGGGAGCTAGTAAAAGTTTTTGAACAAGAAAGTGTCCTGGGAGGAAGAGGTATTTAAGGACCATTAAGGCAGCTAGGAGGCGTCTGTGGTAATTGAGGGCTGGAGTGGTGGGGTGGGAGTAGAAATAAAGGTGAAGATTGGATTTAAGAGAGAATTTGAAGGACAAAAAATCAATAGGACTTCAAGAAGAGAATGAAGTAGAAGCTAATTCTCAAACTTTTGAGCCCGAGTGACTGTACGTGGTCCTGCCTTTCATTTAGAGCTAGAGAGGCTGAGAAGGAGACCAGTTTGGAGGAAGTAGAAGGGTGAATTTTAGTTGCGAAATTGTTGAGTTTGAGATGATATGTATTTGAGTAAAAGTGGTCCCTGTGCCGTTGGAGATGTAAACTGGGAAGCAAAGTAAGCTATGTGAAGTGAAAAGCTCTCACGGGGAGAGAGGCTGTGATGGGACTGGAACAGAATGTGCTGGAGCCCTCAGGGCATTTCTCAGTTCTCATGTATTATGGGTTGGCAGGTAGACTATTTTGAATTTAATGTAGTGGTAAATTTGAAGCACAACCTGTGCCTTCTACTTCATAAAGCCTCACTTCTCCCACCTGGGCACACGTTGATACCATTACCATTTTATGCTAGTTTCTTTCTGTTACTCTAATATCTTTGGAAAGGAAATGATTAATACATGTGAGACTTTTCTTGGTTATTTCTGATAGCTTTGAATACAGGGAGAATATGTTAAAGCTAGGGACTTGAAACAAGACAGAGAGACAGCATATGAAAAGCAGATCTCCAGTTGTTAGAAAAATTCTAAGCTGGAGTTCTCAGCACCACTACAGGGTAGCCTTGGACCAGTGATGACAGCTCCATTTCATATTGTACTTCGTAAAGAAAGGCTGTAAAACCTACTTAGGCCTCACAAGGTCTTTTCGAGCCTTAGCCAAGATATTTAGGCACTGTCAGTAACCACAAGCTGTAGCATAATATTCAGGCTTGGCAAGGCAGCCCGGTCTCCCGAGCATGGTGGTAGGCTTTTGTGTACGACTTGAAAGCTGTTGCTGAGGCACGCCTTCTTGGTATTCCTCTTGGGACTTGATTCTCTGTAGTCTATAGCATGTCCTTGCTTGTAGATGACGCTGGATTGCTCAGATATCATTAAAGGATCTGTAGCTGTCTTAACAGGAAACAGCTCACCCCTTGGGGAGTGTGTAAGATAGTGAAGAAAATCCTTCGGTGGTGGCCCATCATTTATGGCTGCTGGTGTGTTGGCTGGTATCTAGTGTTTTGAGTCCTCAAGCTCTTCAGTTTACTAGGTAATGTCCCCGTGTTTAGCCTGGTTTGGAAGATCGGAGTCAAGTTAGCTGAAAAGTCCCAAGGCTTTTCTGTCCCCGAAAGGCTTCTCTGCCTAAAGAGGCAGCAGGTTGAGAACGTGGAAAGTGACTTTGAGTCCATGTCGAAAGAGTCATCACCTTTTTTAATCAACTGGATTTTAAAATGAAATAAAGTGATGAATGCTGCATTTATAAAAGTTAACCTTTTGCTTATGGATCTAACAGCTTTTGTAACTCTGTTCCTTTGGTCACACGGTACACATGCTAAGAGCTATCCCACATCTTCACCTCAGAAAAAAGCGGATGCCAGGACATCCGTGTGTCATAGGTGATGTAGCTTGTGGCAGGATTTAAAGCAACAAGAGCGTAGAACATCTATCATTTCTGTAGAGAAAGTTTCCCCAGCTGGTTTGAGAGAAGCAGGAGTTTAATATCCCTGTCAAGCTTCCCCTTACCTCATTTACCTTAAAAAACAAAAGTCCTAGCAGACAAACTATAATTGCCTAAAACAAAACGAGTAAGGCACAGGTGAAGGTGGAAATGATTATTGGGAGGCAAACGGCAAATGTCACCAGTCTGTGCCATTACCCAAGCATCCTAGGTCGAGTAACCATTCTCTTGAGAAGGAGTGATGCTAACTTTATCAACAGGATTCCGCTAAAAGTACAAAGAAAAACAATCACCAAGATGCCATATATATTAAAAATCCTGTTTCATTTTAGAGCTTATCACACTTCAGTGGTAGATAGAGCTTGTTTTTATTTTATATATGTTTTTGTAGTACAATTTTAAAATCTTATTCTTTTTAATAAATCTAGGAGCTGTCTCATCCTATGCACTGGAACTTAATTTGACAGATTCAGAAAAAGCCCTTTGCCTTTATGCAAAATGGCAAATGAATTTCACAATACCTTATGAGACTACAAGCAAAAGTTATGTAAGTATTTTTCTTTGAGTTTTATAGTGGGAATTTAATTCTCTTTTTCATTCTTTACATACATTTATACAAATAAGATTTCATATGTTAACTGACTTAACACTTAAATTTTCTGGGTTTTTGTAAACATAGACACTTGAAGGTATTCTGTTTGGTGTTGGAATGAATATTTTAATTCATTAGTTCTTTGGAGTTTTCTTGGAGTTGATTTAGGACATGTGATCTGAAGACTATATAGTGTTCAGGTCTAACTACTGTAATGTTTTTTACAGGTACTAACATCAAAGCTTGTCCTTTTTTAATTTAGTTATTTATTTTTGCCTGAGGAAGATTAGCCATGAGCTAACATCAGTTGCCAAACTCCCTCTTTTTTTTTTTTGCTTGAGGAACATTAGCCCTGAGCTAACATCCATGCCAGTCTTCTTCCACTTTATATATGGGTTGCTGCCACAGCATGGCTGAGGAGCCATGTAGATCCATGTCCGGGATCTGAACCCACGCTGCTGAAGTGGCGCACGCAGAACTTAACCACTGTTCCACAGGGCCAGCCCTTTGCCCTTTTTTTTTAATAGCTTGCTATTAAAATCTTTTTGGGAGGTATTCTCTCAATCCTTTTACCTTCTTATTTTCTTTTAGTTAAGGTCCTGCCTGCTTACAGCCTGATTTAAAAAAAAAAAAAAAAAAACAACTTAAGAAGAGAAGTTCAGGCCCATTTTTCTTTTCCTTTTAGACATACATGAATTTGTCCAGAGGATTGGTGTGTAGCTGGAGAATCTGAGACTGCTTTCCACAGCAAACCAGGCAGAGGGCAAGCTGGCCATGGGGGATGTGTGATGTAGGCTCAAATGGCACACTCTGCCTAAATGCTGGGTGCTCAGTACTGTCTGTCTGTGCCTTACCCCAAACTTCTTTTTCTTTTAGAAAACTGTAACCATTTCAAACTTTGGCACTCCAACATACAATGGAAGCATTTGTGGGGATAACCAGAATGGTTCCAGAATAGCAGTGCAATTTGGATCTGGTTTTTCCTGGATTGTAAATTTTACGAAGAGTGTGTCTGTTTATTCAATTGACAGCATCTCATTTTCCTACAATACTGGTGATAACACCACATTTCCTGATGCTAAAGATAAAGGTAACCTTAAAAATTGGATTTGTGTTATGTTCTCTTGCTCTTTATTAATAATAAGAAAAATGTAAATAATCGAAAAAATCATCCTTATGCATGTCTGTCTTCCTAACTAGAATGGAAACCTCGTGTCTTTGTATCCCCCAGCCCCACGTGTAGCACAGTGTTTGACAAGGTGATGATGATTTGCCGTCATTGTACAAGGTGATGATGATTTGCCGTCATTGCTTGACTACTTTACTTTGTACCAGGTAGCACCCTAAATGTGTTACCGGCAGTGTCTTGCTTAGTCCTTAACAGCAAGCCTGGGAAGTAGATATTATCCTGACTTTACAGGTGAAGCAAATGAGGCTTGATGAGAGTAAGTGGCTTTCTCAGAGGTCACACAAGCTAGTAAGTGGGTGAGCTGGTGTTTGAACCAAAGTCTCTTGAGCTACAGAGTTCATGCATTTTATTATTATTTATCTTATTCAGTAGTGGGCACTCACCAAACGTTGTGTGAATGAGAAAATCCTTTATACTAATGACTGTTTTAAATGTGTACAAGTTCAGTAACTGAGACCAGCAGAAATGCTTCATCTTCAAATCTTTTTACCATTTAGATAGGATTTTGACTGAAAAGTTAATGATGATTAATTAAAGGTAAAATGACTGAAGTCAACATTTACTGCTATCTTTAGACAATTTCAGATCAAAATGAACTTGAGAAAGCATTGACAATTAGGCCATCCTAGTAACTACTAGAACTGAAATGGATATTAAGATAGTTTGAAGGCATGGATAATAGAGATTTCAATTTTGTTAGGGATATAATTCTCTTCTTTCTCCCCCCTCCATCGAGATGGGGTTAACATGGTGTTTTTAGTAACTTAGCATTTCTCACAGATAGTATTTCATTCTGTCTCCAGAAACATAGGTAGATGAGCTTCAGTTGCCTAGACCTGGGGATAAATGACTCATTTGGATTTATGGATATCAAAAGATCATATTTTAAAGACCCAGAAGTGAATGAGCTCATGTAAAACTTGGGAGGTATTGCAGACTGAAACTTGGAAATCACATCCTAGTTTTTTTACTTATCTCTTAGCTTGAGAGGATAACTAAAGCAGGTTTGTTATTGCATATCTTATATATTCAGCTTTCTGGCCTACATTGTCTTTCAGAACTAGTATAAGATTTGCCCCTCACTTTCAAGGGGCTTAAAAACTAGTTGGAGAGGCAAAGTGAAATTGTTTTCCTAAGTTATATGGAAACATTGGAAAGCATTGAGATAGTGTAAATTGTTGTTGTTTGTGTTTGGGGGGTGGAGGGTTCATGCATCTTTTCTGACGATGTGAGGGGAGCTCTAGACCCTCTCTCTCAAAGTACAGAGTAAACTTTGCATATGGTACATAGTCCCTGAGTCCATCTGTGGATGCCTGTGGTTAAGAGTGCCTGATTTAAACGTTGTTCTCATGAGTGGTCCTGATTAGGAGCAGAGAGAAAGGAGAGGTCCATGTGCGTTGGAGGAGTGAGAAAGTTTGGTAAAGTAGGACCTGAGCTGAAATTCGGCTAATGATAGAATTTGGGTAAGCAGAGAATTTTGAGCAGAGTATTTCCAGCAGGGGGAAGCATAGTTTGTGCAGCGGTCATTGGAGAGCTGCCTGATTTTAGAGGCTGTGCGTGTAGCAGAAGGAAAATCAAGTTGGCTAGGTGCAGTGGGTCTAAATTATAAGGGGGCCTTGGAAGCCAAGGAAAGGCATTTAGCTTGATGGGGTAGGCACTGGGGAACCATTTAGGTTTTTAAGCAGGAGAATGATATAACAAAAGCAGAGACAGTAGTTTATAAAGAATGTTCGGCAAGGTGAATTTGAAAGTGAGGAGACGGCAGGCAGAGATGCCAGCTTAAAAGGCTGTTAGAGTAATTAAGGGATGATGCAATGAGTGCCTGGACCCAAGGGGGTAGTGGGAAAAGCAGGTGGAGTTTAATCTGACAGATTTGATGGAGAAACTATGGACTCTAAAATGTTAATGCCTATCTCTCCCCCTTTTTGTTTTAAACAAGGGAGGATGCAATTTTTTATTACTAGCTTCTGTGTAATATTTGAAACTATTTGAAATTAAAAATGGCTTCCTAAATGGACTGTTGATAATGGTTTTTGAAATAATTTAGTGTTTTATTTTTAAGCATCTGATAATTGAAGTGATTTTAAAGCTCCTGTTTTCTTTTAAAAAAATTTTTCGTGATTAAAATACAGAAAAGTAAAGGGAATGATGTAACAGACCCATGTGCACCCATTACTCGGAATTAATGCCATTTTTCATATTTGCCTCATCTTTTTATTTATTTAAAGAAAGAAAATCTTACACTTGGTTTCCTCTGTACCCACACCCCACTGCCATTTTCCTCCCTTCCTCCCAAGAGGCAACCACTCTGACAAATTTGGGGTGTAGCCTTCTTGTCTTTGTGTTTATATTTGACTAATATATATGTTTATCAATAATACATAGTTTAAAAATGATATAATTTTATAGCGTAACTCCAATATATCTACAACTTGTTTTTTTCACCATTTGTTTTGAGGTCATCTATATATAGCCAGTTCATATTTCTCTTCACTTATATTAATGGAGAGAAACAGTTTTAGAGAAAAATGCTCTAATTCATTGGTTAAGAAAAAGATCTCCTTTGGCCATTAGGGGGTGCCAAGGCAGCATTACTTGGCTGCCTTGCTTCGTAATGGAGAGGCACAGAAGGCAGCCTATATTAAGGCCCGTGAATACCTACCTTCCTTGCTGCTTCTCCAGAAGAAACTAAGCCATTTCGGTGGATAAGTGTGATCATGATCTTTGGAAATTTCACTATAGACATTATAATAAAAACTCTGTACAGAATGGCTGTAATTTATTGCTTTCACATTCTGAAGATTTCCTGAAATTGAATAGTCTTTAAATTCTATCCAGGAAGATTCCAAAAACTCATTTTAGTGACTTTAACTTACTTTAGGATGGTAGCACAAAAATAAGGATTTATTATGAAATCCTTGAAGAATCCATCTCTCTTCCTTGTTTGGTCACTAAGTCCTATCGATTCTCCCTTAGACGGGTGTTTTCAGTTTGGCCTGTTTGTTGTTTTCCTATGGTCCCTCACCACCTTAGTTTAGGCAGCACCCCCTCGCGTTTCACCTTAGCTAGGTCATCAGCCTCCCAACGAGTTTCCCTCTTAAATGACTTTCCTTAAATTTTTCTCTTCTGCCTATCCTCTACAATTTGGGTATCTTCCTTAAAATAAATTATATGTGTGATACTTATTTCCAGCTTTAAAAACTGAAGGTAACCTTTTATTGCTAACAAAATAAAGCCCAGCCTGTCCTTAGATCATAGAAGATGCTTCAAATTGTGACTACTTGCAACTCGTCTTTCCTTCCTAACCCCATCACATCTTTCCTCTTAATCCCTATGTTTGAGCCACAGTGAGTTTGTCGTTCCCTGAACATGCTATGTCCTTTTTCACTTTGGGGATAGGATGGGGAAGACAGAAGAGGAGAAAGTCTGATATATATTTATATTATTACTGTTCTACCTTCCTGGAAACAGCTATTGTTAATCTTGTTTTACAGGAATTCTTACTGTCAATGAGTCTGTGGCATTCAAAATTCCATTGAATGACATCTTTAGATGCAATAGTTTATCATCTTTAGTAAAGAATGGTGTTGTCCAGAACTATTGGGATGTTCATGTACAAGCTTTTGTCCAAAATGGCACAGTGAGCACAAACGGTGGGTAAAGTATTTCCATACTTGGGTCCTGATTTAAGATTGGGGTGTAGCTGGTGGCTTTAGTTGAAGTCGTTATCTGAAAGCATTTATATATTCAGACTTATTCATAGCCTACATTGGACTGTAAAGTTTTTATAAATAATAGTAATTCTTATTCTTGTGGAACTTGCTATTTTAAGTTTATGATGTACATGTTGTGGAGTGGTCTTTTAAAATGCTCTACCTATAATGTTTTCAGCTGATAAAACCTAATCTTTGAACAGATCCTCAAATAGTTTGATCATCAGCTCTTTGGCTTTTGATGATCCAAGACCAAAGCTTAGAAATTAGATTTCTGTGTTCTAATCTTGAATTTTATAAGTTGATTTTGTAACTTATATATGACTTTATGGAAATGCAGTAATTTCTTATTCACCAGTTCTGGAAAACTACCAACACTTTCTAAGAAGAGGTTGAATTGCCTGTGATTTGCTTTAGGGGTAACATAAATAAAAGGTTCCTTTGTATTTAAATCCTTTAATGATTTCTAAACCTTTTTTCTGGTAAACACTATGCTTCCTTATAGTGGTTGTATACTGGCAAGAAGAGGGCAGGCTTACATAGGGGTGAAAAGTTTTCAGACTTAAATCTCTGATTTTCACATCAGAGGCAGGTGAAGTTCTTTGGAAATAAAGAGAATTAAGGGTCTGAAAAGATGAATGTGTGGCCATGTGTGAGTAGATAAAGTGTATGTCTCGGAGCTTGTCTGCTGTGTCATAACTCTTAGAGATTGCCTGCATATGAAGCAGCAGTTTGAGAACCTCTGCTTCATCTAGTTGAAAATATCCTGCCAAGGTATTCCCTTCCCTTAGTATAACCCTTTTGGACTTCTATTGTGAGAAACATTTTTCTCTTCCCTTGCCTTATGATCGAAGGAAAAAATCTACGTTATTTTGTCCTTTGTTTGTTTTAGAGTATCTGTGTGAGAAAGATAATACTACAACCACAGTGGCCCCCATCGTTCCCACCACCGTGCCATCTCCTACTACAACGTCATCTCCTACTACAACACCCTCCCCAAAGGAAAAACCAGATGTTGGATCTTATTTGGTTAAAAATGGCAGTGATACTTGTCTTTTGGCTACCATGGGGCTGCAGCTGAACGTCACTCACGATAAGGTATGCTTGTCTATTTTTATTGATACGTTCTTTTTGTATCTCCTTTCAAATAGGGTATATCCTACTTTTAGTCTAAGAGTAGTGTTACTAGAATGATTCCATTTTAAATGGAGATTTGATGTTGCCTTGTTGAGGTTTGATTAATTTGGAGTTACTGTAGCCATGAAGAGTTAATGTCGCTGTCAAGGTATTGTCTTGGCTAGCAGGAGACCTAGCAGTTTAAGGGACTCTTTGGGGTTTAGATTCTGTTTACCATCAGTAGATCAGAGTACAAACAGTTGATCTTTATTTCAGTCAGTTTAAAATACAACTCCTTCACACTTTTATCTGCAGTGCGCTGTAGGTTGATACGCAGAAGCAGTGCAGCTCTTTCTCCAGCAATTCGATGACTAGGACCGTATAGATATGCTCAAGCACACAACAGTACATCTAGTTGCAGTGTCCCACTGAGGCTACAGAGGGCGTGCCAGTGAGCAAATCCCGTCTCCAGAGTCCTGCGACTGAAGCTACACAGATGGCTCTTGTGTGCCATAAAAACTGTGTGTTTTCATTTAGCTCTTTACTGAGGAAGCTTCTCTCTTGGTTTTCTTTTTTTAAAAAGTCGTCTGAGTCATAGCTTGAGGGCCTGAGCCACTTTGTTTGAAAGTAAGACACCATAAACTTAAGTATCCAGACAAAAGGATTTTTTGTTCTTCACTGAAATTGGTCTTATTAGAGTGTAAGGTTTTGCTATATAGACTTTTATGATGAATCTGTACCACCCCCCTCTCTTCTTCCCCAAAGGTTGCTTCGGTTATTAACATCAACCCCAATGTGACTGGCTACAGTGGCAGCTGCCATCCTCAAACTGCTCTACTTAGGCTGAACAGCAGCAACATCAAGTATCTTGACTTTGTCTTTGCTGTGGTGAGTAACAGATTTTTCTAAAATTGAGTTCATGCCCTTAGAACACGTCTGAAAGTCTAAATAGCTGTGTGTGTGTATGTGTCGGGGGGATGTTTAGCTCTGTTTTCCATTTCAACACTACTTATCTATAAAATGTAGTCCATCGATTCCTGTTAATATCTTAGGGTCACCTCGATGGCCTGTGGGCTGGACTCTTGTATTAATGTTCACCAAAAGTGGCTGTTCTGTTGTTGTATAGACCTAAGGGTAGGAACAAGAATTAACCCACATCAAAAAAACTGTCTAATCCATCCATATAGATATGTGTAATAATGAAGTGTGTGTATATATATAAAGTATCTATGTAAAAGATATACAGTAATTTCTACAGTATTTTTCTCTTTTATTGGTTGGAAAACTCATGTTTGTCTGTTATAATACTTTAGGTTTTTTGGAGGCTATACTATTTGTAATTCTATCGGTAATAATAGCTAACATTTATTGAGTACTTGCTATGTACAGGGCTCTGTGTAAGTACTTTACATGCATTAATTCATTACATCAGGATAGTTTATAATGGCAGCATTCAGGTTTTTGTTGCTCATGCTTGTATCAAGGGCTGAGCCCTAAACAGAAGGTTCCAGGTTAAGTATGCATGTTCTACTTCTTGTAGCATAAATTAATCATCGAGGACCTTTATTTCCACCTTCTCAGAAGCAATTATTATTCCCATAATTTTCTGAGGGGGGTGTGCACGCATGTGTGTGTACACATTAGAGCAAATGGGAATGGAAAAGAGAGGATAGCTATTGGTGAGGGAAAATGTTGAGCTACCAACAGTTCTCAAACTAAGAGTTATTGTTAAGTGGATAAAAAACAGTTCTACTTTTAAATCAGATTACCGTATCTAGGGATGGGGAAGTACTCTCAACATCTGATATATAAAAAGTAGGTATATTGTTATTTGTTTCGTGTCTGAACTTGGTATCTTGAGTCTAAAACCTTTGTTTTCTATGGAATATGTGCTGAGTAATTGAGGAGTATGTTAGGCAATTATAGTTTAGAAAGGTTTACAGAAATCTTCCCTTTTCCAACACTTAAATCATTCCTCGGTTATAGTACATGCATGGCCAGTGAATTAGTACTAAAAACGTCTAGTTAGGCTTGTCCTCTTCAATGCAGTAAGATCAGGCCTCCCCAGACACATTCTCTTTTAAAGTTATCTCACAGGGATTACATTGTAGTCAATATGAATGAGGAAAGTAATATTTTAGGTTCATTCCCTTTTGAGTGATTGAGTTTAATCTTTCTAGCTGTGGTAGGATCCTAAAAGGAACATGATTTCTCCTTACTCTCATGGGGAAATATATAATAATTACAATATTTAATTTGCCCAGCAGGCTATTTTAAAATGCTATCCAAAATAGTGACATTTTAACCATGCTACAAGCACTTTGAAAACCCAGGAAACTCCTGCAGTGTCACCAGAGTTCAGTGGGGCCCATCTCACCTTCAACCCTGTCATAATAGATGCTTCTAAGGAGAATCTATTGAATTCGAGTGTGTTCTGTGCAGGATGCTATGGTGGGATACAAAGAAGAAGGCCTGTATCTTTAAGGTGCCTACGCTTTAGTGGTAAAGATAGAAATATATAAATAATTACTGTTTTTTTGTAGAAAGCCTTGAATGCCACGCTGAGGCTTTGGAACTTGATTCTGTGAGCAATTAGAGTACTATGGAAGGTACATACAAAGTGGGAAGAGTGCTAGACCAGGGGAAAATACAAAGTGCTGTGGGAGTATTGAGGAGGGAGTGGTTAATTCTGGCTCGGGGAGAGTCAGGAAGGTTTAATGAAAGAGCTGGCATTTGAGCTGGACCTTCAAGGATGAGTCACATTTGTATGTGTGGAGATAAGGGGCCTAAGAGGGCAAGTACAGGTTATCCCTGGATAAGGGAACACAAGACCAACTGGGAGAACAAGGCTTGCGGCGTGTTCAGTGAAAGATAAGTGTGGAAAAGTAGTTGAGACAAATTGTGAAGAGCCTTGAATGCTGCGCCAAGACATAGGCTAAGTGGGGGAGAGATGTAGTGAGGTTGTCAAGTCGTCCTTTATGTTTCCTCCTGAAATTTCTCCGAGTCTCTCCCCTCAGTTTCCTTTCCCACTGCCTTCGCCCTGATTCCAGCCTGCAGTCCCTCTTACCTGGACTGTTCACACAGCCTCCTAACTAGTCCCCGCTCTTTCTCCTCTCCCCTAATGTTCTGCATCGGTTTAATCTTCCTGAAGCACAGCTCTTCCTCCAAAACCTTCAGTGGTTCTGTTTTGCCAACAAAATAACATCTCAATTCCATGGCAGGGTAGTTCAGGCCGCCTCCGCCCCCTGTGCAGTGTAGCCTGCATATCCAGCTTCTTGTTTCCTTCTCTCCCTCTTCATGAATCTCATGCTCCCCTCACCCTCTTCCCTGTGCACATCCAGTGAGGCAGGAAAGCATAGTAGTAACCAGTACGTAGGCTCTGCAGCCAGACTTCTTGGGTTCAAATCCCAGCTCACTGACTACTAACCATATAGCCTTGGGGAAAGTTACTTAACCTCTCTGCGCTTTGTTACCCCATCTCAGGATGGGGTGTTGTGATTGTTCAGTGAAGCCTCATATGTGAAGTTTTAAGAACAGCGCTTGGCACTCAGTAAGTTCTCAAATGCCGGCGTACTTGTGATTATGCTTATTTTCTGACTACCTTTGCTCATGCTGTTGCCTTCTCCAATACCCTTTTCTGCTTGTTTCCTAATTGAATCCTACCCAGTTCAAATGGCTCATCCCTAAGCTGTATTACTTTTTTTTTATTAAGATTATGATAGTTAACCTTGTGAAATTACAGTTGTACTTCATTATTAGTCATGTTGTAGGTACATCACTTCACCCCTAGTGCCCTCCCCCACCCCCCCTTTCCCCTGGTAACCACCGATCAGTTCTCTTTGTCTAGATGTTAACTACCACCTATGAGTGGAGTCATACCCTAAGCTTGTATTACTTTTGTTCCTCCCCTAGTTAGAAGTAACTTGTCTCCTTTTACTTTTCTTAACTTACTTTCTTTTTTGTAATATGGTTATTTATTTATGTGTTTATCTTATTTTCCCTGGCGGATTGCAAACACGGTGGAGGCAGGATCCCGGTCTGGTTTGTTTTGCTAGCTCCCTGAAGCACTAGATATGTTACCTTGTGCATGCTAAGCCCTGAAATTACTAGAATGACAGGTTGATCAAATGAGTGCTTCAGAAAGATAATAGCAGCCAAGGCGAGATTCGAGCTGGAGAGGCTGAAAGGCGGGGAGCCCAGTTACAAGGCTCTCCTGATCCAGACTAGAGGGTGGTGAGGGCTCAGCAAGTGACAGGACGAATGAAATGGAGGGAATAAATTTCCGAATGTCTAAGAACCACATGACCACGCCTCTGGTCCAAAAATTGGAAACAAAATGCAGAGAGAAAGGGTTTCTGTCACGGTTTGCATTCTCTTTACTTGGTTGCAGTTGTATTAGACTGGCCCAGGTCTAATACCGGCTTTTATCTTCTGGGTAATAGTATTAGATTGCTTTTCTTCTGTAGATATTAACTGTGCCTGTAGACAGTTGTGATGTGTTGATTAACTGGAAGCTCTTTTTCAAACAGAAAAATGAAAACCGGTTCTATCTGAAGGAGGTGAATGTCAGCATGTATTTGGCTAATGGCTCTGGTAAGCAAAGCATTGACCTTGGGGAAAAGAGTGTGGGTGACACTGAAGGAATAGAAACCATAATTGTCTTGTTACCAAATAGTGCCTTATTTAATGGAACAGAAGATTCCATGGGAAGATTGTACCTTGACCACAACTTAAAAATCAGTAACTTAGAACTATAAGGCACTTCTGCAGTATCCCATATTTTCAAAGTATGGTAGATAATGGTTAAGGGTGGGACTGATTTTTAAAGTATAGAAACATCTATAAAAAGATGAAGAACCTGGTGATCATAAGCATTGCTTTTTGTGGGTAGACCCTGTACCCCAGGCTCCCATACTTCACTGAAAAATCTTGAGGACTGTCCCCCTTTTTATGTTGATAGGATAAGAAGTTACTAACATGTTTCTTTTCTTTAAAGTTTTCAGCTTTGCAAATAACAACCTTAGCTACTGGGATGCACCCCTGGGAAGTTCTTATATGTGCAACAAAGAGCAGACTGTTTCAGTGTCTGGAGAATTTCAGATAAATACCTTTGATCTAAGGGTTCAGCCTTTCAATGTGAAGGATGGAAAGTATTCTACAGGTAAGAGTCAAGCAAGGTTTATTAATAATTTATATCCTTATGTTGACCAATAGGCGTCTTTCCCTTTGAGTCTTGGCAACTTAAGCATTGAAATAGAGAAGTAGAAATTCACCTCAACTCTGTTGTGGAGTTCTCATAGCCTGAGCAAGTTGTGTAACTATATTTGGCTCATCATTTTGCTCCAACCAGATTTTTTTTTTGTGATCTGAAAACGGTTTGCAACAAAGTTCTTAAAGCTAAAAACTGACAGAAGCTTTAAGTGAGCTTTCGGGTAGAGCAGTCCCTCGTAGGTTTTAGTTTGTGAGGAGGATGGCACTTGTAAGCAACAGCTTTGAGCATCTTACATCTGCTTTCTTACGGCCATCTTCTTGCTGGAAACATTTTCATACCCAAATAAAAGCAGTTTGGTGTTATTTTGTTAAGACAAAAGATTGCGGTAGCAAAGCCTCAAATATCGTGAATTATGTTTTGACCAGTGGATTGATCTGGAGAGTTTTAAAAGCATGTGCCAATATGAGTGAGGCTTTTTAAAGATCTACTCAGGGCTAATGGTGGTATTTATCAGATTTTTAATGAAACCTTTGTGAAGGACTCATTACAGGATGTTTATACGAATATGAAAGATGCATTTGGCATTACAAGATTAAAATTTGCATGAAGAAAAGAAAGTACATAAAATTCCTTAATTGACTTGTCCTTTTAAACTGATTACTTAAAATTGGGGGTTTATGGATCGCAACACTGCTGAGCAGAGCTATTCCAGTCATCCACATCCTTTTTAACAATTAATTCTACGGTTTTGAAGGAAATGTGGAAGCTGTCTTTCAAAGTTAATATGCTGTGAGCCATTCAACTGCTTTTGCGATAGTGCTGAATACCTAGCCTCACTTGGTTGGGCCCAGATAAATGGGACTCTTCGCCCTACCGTTCTTGTGACTGGAGAGGTTAATCACGCTTAAAAAATTTTTTTCAAGAATTCATTTTCCCTTTTGTCAGTTTTACTTATGTACTTCAATTATTTTAATCATGTAATAGTTTTATTTTTAAGTCTTTATCTAGCTTCCCTACATCATTGCCCTAAGTTTAGGCCCAGATTTGTGTTTAGAATTTAAAATTATTTGCAGTGTAATATCAGCTCAAGCCTGTTGCCAGCTGTAGTAGAGATGAGCTATGTTCTTTCTCGAATTTGAAACTTTGGTTTTTATGCACATAGAATTAAAAATGTCGGTCAAAGGAGTATACATTTCATACTGATCACAGAAGCATAATCTATTTGTGGAACTAGGTTCTTGACTATGGGTGCCTAGAAATACAACACGCTGTAGTACTGGACTGCGTCGAGGAGGAAATAGACTCACAGCGAGGTGAAAGAGTGCTGATTAGATTTCACTGGATCGGACTACTCTCTAGAAATAGAAAAGAATAGTCCCTGTGGGCAGCCAGCCCCAACCACATTGATAAATGTAGTGAACACACTCAAATTAGTGAGAGGTCCCAGTTTCTTGACTTTTGCAGCCACCAAAATCATATACTCCAAGTCAGGGATTTGCAGACTTTCTCTGTAGAGGCCCAGACAGTAAGTGTTTTAGGTTTGGAGGCCACACGAGCTCTGTCACAGCTGTTCAGTTCTGCTGTTGTAGCACGAAAATAGCCATAGGCAGTCAACAAATGAGTGTGGCTGAGTTCCAGTAAAACTTTATTTATGGATACTGAAATTTGAATTTCATGTAATTTTCATGTGTCACAAAATATTCTTCTTTTGTTGTTTCTTCCAACCATTCAAAAATGTTTAAAAGCCATTTTTAGCTCTTGGGCCAGATTTGGCCCATGGACTATCTCTGCTCTAAAGGAGTTCAGAGCCAGCCTGGCTGTTCTGATCCCATGATTAAACCTTCCTGATCTGTTCCTAGTTTCCCAAAAGACATTCACTCTACTACTAAGAGGTTACTCTGGCTAGATTAGCTCTGTTCATTTCCAATAAAGTAATACCTCACTTCTGTTTTGGAAAGGACTTGGAATATAAACAAAGAAACACACATACTCATGTATTTGTTTAGTCATAGATATAAATGAGTAAATATGTATTCATATATATGAATATCTGTATATGCACATACATGCATAATGAAAGGACAGATAAGTTTTAGGATTTTAATTCTAGAACAATCCATAGTTTTCTGTAACTTTATCATTAAAATACAGTCATGGGACGCATAACAACGTTTCAGTTGATGATGGACCGCGTATATGATGGTGGTTCCATCAGATTAGTACCGTATAGCTTAGGTGTGTAGTAGGCTATACCATCTAGGCTTGTGTAAGCACACTCTGTGAGTACATAACGACAAAATCACCTAACGACGCATTTCTTAGAATGTGGCCCTGTTGTTAAGTGACCCATGACTGTATACCTGTCTTAATTACTTGAAGTTGATCTTGTAAGAACATTTCTGACTTTTGAATCAACATCTTTTACTTTTGGACATTCTTTTTTGATTATACTCATTATTTGTTACACACTTTTTCTCACCTACAGCCCAAGAGTGTTCGCTGGATGATGACACCATTCTAATACCAATTATAGTTGGTGCTGGCCTTTCAGGCTTGATTATCGTTATAGTGATTGCTTACCTAATTGGCAGAAGAAAAAGTTATGCTGGATATCAGACTCTGTAACACTAATCCATCTCTGGATTAGTGATCTCTGTTACAAAACAATAAAGCAAGTACAAGTTCCAGTATGCAATACTGTTCAATTTAAGGTATATTTAGTTGCAGTTCTGATCTTAGAATGGATGGTATGGGGGATTTTGAACTTAAATAGAAACACCCCCAAAACTATAAACTACAAATTAGTCACGTGATTTTGGGTTTCCCCTACCAAGAAATTTAAAGCTGTTATTTCTACAGCAAAAGGCATGTGCAAAATCACCTGGATTATAGGTTCTATTTTATTGTCTTGAATTACTACTTCGGTGTTTTCACTTTGGGTATTCTGACTAGAAATATACAGTTTAAGAAAACCAGTTTTTAAAAAGAAATTATTTCTTGCATGTAGTCATATTGAGACGACAAATTCTGCAGTGGATTTGTACTTGCTCCTTTTGCTTTTTTTTGGTGATTTTGTTTGCAGGTGAACTTAGCTGCTTTGGCATGGCTGCGTATTTGACCTATGAGAGATAGGCCAGTAGGTTTCAACAGGGTCTGGTCTAGTAGTGTTATGTTCTTAGCAATGAGTGCTTTTCTAATGCCTTTTGAATACATTTGTATTCAATGTGGCTATAATGACAAAAGATAAAAAAGCTTTTTAAGTTTTAGAATAGGTGTTAATCTTATTGTTTAATCCTTTTTAAAAAAACTGGATATTTCAATCTTTTAAATTGCAAGACACAAGACTATTCCAACTGGGCATTTCAATCCATTTTCTAGGTGCTTTAGAGATAATTGCTAGGTAGTGCCAGTTTTGGGCATTAGTCCTTTGTACCCGTAAATTGGCCTCTACCTGCAGTACTAAGATTAATGTAGGTTTCTCTTTAGCCTTCCAGTATCCTTGTTGGTGGTAGTATGTTTTCTTCTTTTCTTTTCCTTAAGAAGAAATGCCAGTATGTCCTAGAACCTAGATAAAGAAGTGCACTTACACTTCTTATAAAGTAACTTGCACCTAACCCAAAAGTCTTGGTCTTCTCTTAGTCCATTAAAAGGTAGTTCTTTGTTTCCAGCTTGCATTGATTGCCACAACATTTACTAATTTGGCTTTCACATTTAAATGGTTCTGTGCTAATCAAAACTTACATTATTATTGTTCATTATGGTAGAGTCATTATTAATTCATGTATTTTGTGTTCAGTTTTGTGCTCTGGGGAGATGCACCAATTGTCCATTTACTGTGCACCACCTAATGTTTATATGAGAAAGCAAAACATTTCAGCCTGATAGTTAACACATCAAGTAGTTCTTGCTGCTTCTGAGAGATCATTTTTATTATTGGAATGGCTGAGCAAATATTAAAAAATTGTTAATATGCAGCATATATGGAAGGTTCCTGTGTTTTTGTGTGTGGGAGATTATGTGTGTCCCCCCCAACCCCCCATTCACTAGAAAATGAGATCTCTGGGTTCCACGATATTATTGATGTTGAATTAATTTGACAGATTACCTACATGCACACACGCGTGCACACACACACAGACAATTGCATATTAGCACATGTATGTCTGTAACTATCTTTCGAGTTATATTGGTGTGATAAATATTTTCTCCCACTTAAATTTGCTCTCCATTTAGAGTAGCCTGAAAATCTTACTGACTCAGGATCAGACTCTGACTAGTCTTTCTCTTAAAGCTACATTGAGCTGCATTGCCAGCTTAAGGTACTTTTTAAAGACTAAATATAAATCTAATTTTTAAAAATTATTTTTTATTTAAATAGTGTTTTAATGTAAGATTGTTAACCTTATAAAAATGGATAATGCTTATGAGAACGTGGGCCTTAGATATTTCTCATGAGTCAAAACAAAGCAGCTTTTTTTAAAAATAAAAATTGGAAGCACAAGTGGGTGGCACTGGCTTTACGCTGTTAATGTTTCTAAAAGTTTCTAAATTTAGATTACATACCTGATTCATATTAAAATACCTCTAATTAGTACTGTTTTATAGAAAATCTGACTTCATTGAATATTTTTGTACTTTACGTGGGCCAGTTTGTATACTGTTATTTACACTATTATTTCTTATAGCCACATTCTTTGTACCTTTTGTAGTTTTGTTTGTTTTAGTGGGTTTACACCTTGATAATCTAACATTCTATTTAGTTCTAGGTGTGTTTCATGTTTTAGCATTTGTATAAAGAAACTGGTCCATGTAAATACTTCTCATGTTTCTTTTTCAAATGTTTAAACCACTAGTTGATGTATGGTATTTCTCTTTAGATATTTGCTTGTTCATTTGCTCATCATATTGCTTCTAAAAAAACAATAAAGGTTCGTTTATTTCGTAAGGAA